CACTTATTCATTTACAGGAATTAGTGACCAGGATTGTGATAATAGTAGGATTGTGGTTATAATTAGCGTTGTGCGTAGTATTGTGGAAGGAGGAATTTTGATGAGGGAGGAAGGGGTTCATAGAATTACCCAAATCGACCCAAAAGTACCCAAATCTTCCTAGCATTACGTAAGTAATGAAGAAATATGGTATATTTATTTACTAAAATGTTGGTGCTACACGTAGAACATGATCAAACCTATTTTTACTCTGAAATAATCTAATTTCATAACGAAATTAGACGTAAATATGTCAGAGGTGACGCCATAGGAAGTCGACGGTCCAAGTGACAATTGTGTGGAGCGACTTATCCAAGATATATGGTCGCCTGGAGAGTGTTTGCTGCCATATCAGCCTCCTGTACACAGTGATCCAGTCGTCGTATTTCATGGCTCAAATTGTCGCAAATTTAATTGGTAATATTAACAAGTAGAATGTGTATTTATAATAATATTTTTCATAAACAGCCACAAAATATTTAATATTTATTAAAAAAAAGTGTCTGGAAGTTAAATCAATTCCACATGACAATAAATTTGTTATATAGATACAAGCGTTATTCGTTGGTATGCGTTCGCTATTTAAACTACTCCAGTCCTTTTCGTTCATAGAACACCGAACCCTATACGCTCTCTGATATATTGCTTAACAAATATTCACAAATAAAGATTATATTTATATATGTTATCAGAAAGGCAGATATAAAATAGTTTGTGTTAATGCATCACAGAGATTATACCTTATTAGAGAGGAAAAATATTCATATTTTAAACAAGGCTTCTTGGCCGACGCTCTCCCTTTCGATGGGAACTATGACCTTTTGAAAATCAATGTTAATTGAATCTATATATTGTAAAAAACGAAGTTTTTTATGTCATCAGAAAGACATATAAGCTGCATGTTAATACTTTGGTATAAATATAACTGAAGTGAAAGTGAAGATATATGCCTTTTTATAGTTACTTGATGGCTCGCTCAGGGAGTGTGAAGGCCTGCACACAAGCCAATCAATTTTATAATTAATGTACATATATGCAAAGTAACGTCAACGGTTTTTATTTCAGAATAAAGACAGATGTAGACGATAATGTAAATACATTTCAAGGAAAACATATCTTAAATGAAAGCAAAGATATGGTCAAATAAATAGGCAATACCACACCATCGCCAGTGTCCGGACACATGAATATTCGCATTAGGTAGGTGAAAGGAAATGTACCCAACCATGCATTTCCATTTACGCGACCAGTTTCCGTTCTTATGTTCTTACTTACATTTATTGAAATTTATCATCATCATCATTTACAGAAATAAATTAACATAAAAATGTAGTAATTTTAATACACAAAACAGAAGTAGATATGTATGTAAATTATGACGCAGGATAGGATCACTATTGCAGAACTATTCGCATACTTTGTGTCTTTATATACAGTACTGGAATTTAAAAAAAATCGCAGAATTCAGAGATAACACCATCATTGGTGTCCAAGAAAAGTGTAAGTACTTCATTTATAATGATGTGCTGCCCGAAATCTTAGCGAAGTATCTAAAATTTGCTTACTGTAAGTAATTCATGCAAATGATTGTAAAGCCGTCGCCCAGTTGGGTGGGTGTGGAGCACATGACTGTTAAGCTGCCGCCCAGTTGGTTGGGTGTGGAGCACATGACTGTAAAGCTGCCGCCCAGTTGGGTGGGTGTGGAGCACATGACTGTTAAGCTGCCGCCCATTTGGGTGGGTGTGGAGCACATGACTGTAAAGCTGCCGCCCATTTGGGTGGGTGTGGAGCACATGACTGTTAAGCTGCCGCCCAGTTGGGTGGGTGTAGAGCACATGACTGTTAAGCTGCCGCCCAGTTGGGTGGGTGTGGAGCACATGACTGTTAAGCTGCCGCCATGGAACAAATTTGTGTCCAAGACCTCTTCCTGTTACTCAATTTGGCTGTGTGTAACCAAACTAGAAGTGCTCTACAAATCAAGGGACCCAGAATGTGGAATGACCTCCCGAATCATGTCAAAGGCTGTACCTCTCTCAACCAGTTTAAGAGTTAAACCAAGTAATGCCTAATTAACTCCATGTAACCTAACTTGCCTCCTAAATGTCAACCCATGTCTTGCTATTTATTAAACAACGCTGTTCACCAACATGTGCAATTGCTGATTTATGCCATGTTAACCCCCCTTTTTGTATTTTTTATTCCTTCTTTCAACACAATTTATACCTAATCCCGATTACTAAGTTTTTGTCTGTGTTTTTTCCCCCCACACCTTGCACGAAATGCTATGAGTATTAGTGGCTTTAGATATTGTATGTAGTAGCTCTGTCTATAAATCCAACATTATGTTTGTAAGTCAACTGTATGTACTTTTCCTGAATAAAATGTATTTATTATTTATTTTTTAATCAGTAAGTATTAAAAAAAGGCACCAAGCTGGGAAGGCTATGTAGCACCATTGTGTTTAACAATAAACCAAATTTTTTTTTTAACAAATAATGCACCTGTATGGTAAAACAAATCCTGTCAGCTGTAAAAATATTGATGCAGTTATTTAAATGAAAAATATAATGAAAGAAATATTACTGGTTTATTTTTATCCTATCTTTTTGTACTGTACAGTATATCCAAGGAAGTGAAAAATTGAGACATAATGCACAATTTAATGAATGATTAGCATGGATTAGCAGTTCAAAAGAAATATGACTATTACATATCAACATGAGATCTTAATGATCCATGGTCAACATGATTTAATAAGGATAATACAGTACTGAATTTGTAATAATACAAACTATAATTTAAAATCTTTATTACTGATTTTTTTTTTATTAAGAAGATTAGGTATACACAGCAATGTACTACTACCCTATTCTATATGGAATATTACAGTGTAGATAAAAAACTAGCTATAAGTTTATCTAATACTCCCATCTCACAGGATGGTTAGACATACTGTACATGGAATCAATTTAGAAAATACCAGCCTCAATACAAAAAACAAATCAACTCTGACTAAACAACTCTAAGCAATTTTCACAAGAGGTAAGCACTGAATCATGGAAACATTATATTATAATTACTCTTACCAGTTTCTACAAGACTCCTCTCAAACAATGTATTTTTAAACATGTTTAGGTATACACAGCAATGTGCTGCTTATCTATTCTGTATAAAGGACCACACAGTGTAGATCAAAAACCGGCTACAAGCTCATCCAACATCCTCACCTCACAGGATGGCCAGTCATACATGGAATTAGGAAAGAACAAAATACTTAATGCTGATCTATTAGCCTCCACTGGCAAAATCTGGGTGCAGCACAAGAATATCTTCCAATATTCCTGAGTGTATGATGTAATTACAGAGCTCAAAATACCTCATACCATTTGGTATGAAGTCACTGATAACAGGACAATCACAGATATAGTGTTGGAGAGTATGTTCTCTCAAGTAGGACTGAAAACAGATGTTTTTTTCCACCAAGAGGGCTATAAACCCATGGAACCGCCTACCCGCTGAAGCCGTAAATGCCAAATTCCAGCTAAAAAATATCATTAAGACAATTGGCGGTCCTTTAACAAGCCGCCGGCTTTCTGTCCTCTTCGAGGCCACCAGATAGTTAGTGGCCCTTGGGTTCTTAGAATTACGTAGGTAAACTCTTAGAATTACGTAGGTAAACAACAAATGTAACATATTTGTTTACTACAATGTCGGTGCTGGCTGTAGAAGTTGAAAAAACATTGTTTTACTTCGAAATATAAAATTTCTTCCTAAGTGGACCTTATTGAATCGCACCTAAGCATCTTCTTAGGGCGCACTTAGGAACCTTCGTAGCAAACCCACTTACGAAGAAATACACAGAGCTTCCTGAATCGGTTAGGACCCATTTAGATTATGCAGTTCAGTTTTGGTCGCCGTACTATAGAATGGATACAAATTCACTAGAACACGTCCAGCATAGGATGACAAAGTTAGTCCCGCAAATTAGAAACCTCTCATACGAAGAAAGATTGACAAAGCTTAAATTGCATTAGCTGGAAAGGCGAAGAGTTAGGGGTGACATGATAGAGGTGTTTACTGGTTCGGTAACAGGATTGTTGATTTGTGGAACCATTTACCGCGTAAAGTGGAGGTGGGGTCCGTTAATTGTTTAAAGCGTGGGGTGAACAATACGCTATGCGTATTAGTGGCTTTAGGTATTGTATGCACTAGCTCTATAAATCCAACATTATGTTTGTAACACATCATCTATGTATGTACTTTTCCCGAATAAAAATTTGAATTTTGAATTTGACATGTATGTGGGTGGGATATTGCGTGGTTATAAATAGGAGATGCCTCGTATGGGCCAATAGGCTTTCTGCAGTTATCTTTAGTCATATGTTCTTATGTATTAGGTGATAGGAAACGTGCCGAAGCTGTACATGCCAAAACTGTTAAATATTAAAATCCAGCTGGAAAAACTCATCACGGTAAATAGGAACAGCCTCGTATAGGCCAATAGGCCTTCTGCAGTTACCTTAATTCTTATGTTCTTATATAACATAATGATGTTATATAAGAATATAAGGTTCAGGTTCATGATACAGGTTCAGGAGCTTGTACACCAATTGATTGACAGCTGAGGGGCGGGACCAAATATCAAAATCAAAATCAGAATCAAAATGTTTATTCAGGTAAAGTACATACATACAAGGTGAGATACAAACATTGATGGATTTATTGATAGAGCTAGTATATACAAAGCCTAAAGCCACTATTACGCAAAGCGTTTCGGGCAGAAATAGTCGAAGCTCAGCCCCGTAAGCACAACTAGGTGAGTCCATTGGCATGACCATTAGGGTGTGCGCCATCTATATTTTGACAGCAGCACTACACATTAACCCCGCGTTATTCTATATCCAATACATGAGTGTTATGGTCAGTTGCTAGTCTATATATGTTTCTGGACAAAGTAAGTGATGTGAGGCTTGTTGCGGGCCAAGATCGGTAGTAACTGTTTGAATTGTGTTGGAAGAGGATGTGTAGGCCAGTGTGGTAGACTAGCGGGTAAGTAGCGAGTCTTGTAGCTTTTTAAAGCGCGTCTTTGTAATTCATTTGTGCTAATAACCAATTTTAGGCTGTTTAGTTAGGTTTTGTTTGAGATTTATTTAATGGGTATCGCTAGTAATATAAAGGGGGGGAGGGAAATTGTGTAGATAAAAGTAAATTACCTGTGTAAGCTACATACGGTTTGAAACGATTGACCAGATCGTTATCTTGCGGAATAACTTAAGCTTTTTTAGGGTTGATGGATGTTAATCTTCGTTTGAAGAGCTGTTAACTTGACAGTTAAGGAAAGTTCCAGCTGTGTCTGGGTACAAGTGACAGGATGAACAACCCAGCGGGTTTTCTTCCTCTTGGCGAGTGTTGTACATGCTGCTATGGCGGTGTCCACTCAAAAGATGAGTGGCGCTGCCCAATAAACTCGCCCCTCGGGGCAAAATTTAAAAAAAAAAGTGCCAGAACCCCTAGTGACCTTGAAAAGGCCATGAAGTCATGGTCTTGTCAATTCCCGCACTTTTGAAAGCCGTTTAAACAGTACGGCTTCGGCGGTTTCATAGGCTTATACCTATGTGGGAACATGTCCTAGCAACCACGTTAGACGCTTAATCTGATTGTTTTGAGCTTTTAAAAAGCCTCTTCAGCAGAGGCCGGCCCTTTAATTACGCCTAACGTGCGGCTGGAGTTTTTAAGTGTACTTCTCGGTTAAGGACAAAGACAAAAGGTCTTGTATCGAATAGATTAGGGAAAGTTTGAGGTCTATCTAAAACTGTCAGAAGTGATAACGGAGATAACTACGTTTTTATTCTGTATTTACTAAACATTATCAGCCGAACAAGACTTTGGGAGTACAGGTTGGCTAATTCAGCAGTTACCAGGGAGGATGATAGTTTATTTAAACAAATGGTAACTCTAGTCTGATAGTTTTTGCCAGGGTGCTTAATAAAAGGGCAGCTTTGATAGGTTTATCACTTATTAGTCGGGCAGTACTAGACGTGTGAAGGTACTAATGTGGTACCAGTTTCAAAGGAAAACGAAAATTTTGATTTTTTTAAATTCTAAGGTTACCTGATCAACCAGCCTGTGACTCATACGTCAGGCTGCGAGCAGCCAAGTCGAACAGCCTGGTTGATCAGTCCAGCAACCAGGAGGCCTGGTCGACGACCGGGCCGCGGGGACGCTAAGCCCCGGAAGCACATCAAGGTAAGGTTTAATTTCCTTGTCAAATTAACGGCCAATTAGCTTAGTCTATTGTGGGAAGTTGCTTTAATTGTAAAACTACAAATATTTGTATTCCTCTTGGAAAAATCATACATAAATTGCATAGTTCTACTATTAGCTGTTAATGATAACACTTGCATAGTTGATGAAATAGTGATAAGGTTTGTGATGTGTACCATGACTTTAGCAAAACTTTTTTTGATAGTGCCAAATGGAAAAAAATGATAGGCTCAAAATATTGGGTGCTGTATGAAGTTTAGAGCATTGCTATACCAAAGTGGTTAGTATAAATGGTGTTAAAGGAAATATTGTTGGTGCCTCAAGGCTATTCTGGGACCTCGGTTGAAGATGTTGGAGCAGGAATAATTGCAGAATTGCAAAATAAAAAAAATCGGGAAAGAAATACTTGCTATCACTTAGAGAGGATGGTTTTGAAATGGTATAATTGCCAGATGCAGTCTAATGCTGACAAATACAAGGTTTTGAGGCTAGGAAATGATAGTACAGATAAGAGCTAGATGGTGTGGATTACAAGAGGGACCAGAGTTTGATAAAAAATGCATAAATGTTCATAATTGGGGCAAATGGGACAGTGATTTGTCAAAGCACTAGTAATAAAATACCTGGTATTCTCCAGGTATCTTGCTCTTGTTAAAGCCCCATTTAGGTGATGCAGTTCTGGTTGGCATGCTATAGAACGGCTATAAAATAATGCATTCAACGTAGGATGAGTTAACCCCACAAACTGGGAAAAGTGTTGTATGAAAAGATTGAAAAGGCATAAATGCATGCCTCTAAAATGGCAAAATTAGTGACATGATAGGTGTAAAAGTGCACAAATGGACATAAGGGAATATTAATTAGGTATTAAGAGTATGCACAAGACGACCCCGAAACAAAGGGTATGAATTGGATAGTTTAGCTTTAGGAAAGACCTGGGTAAATACTAGTTCGACAAAAGGGTTTTGGTTGAACAAATTAACGCGTAACAAGTGGGATCCCTAGATAAATCCACAAGGGCCGTGATGAGGCTTGTAACCTGCGTCAAAGAGCATCACTCTGCTTTAAGACTGAGCACATGGTAAAATCTTTTACCATGTCGTAGCTCAATCGATTAAGGCAGCGTCTGGTATGCTCTCGGACGCAAGTTAGAATCCTCGTCACGGCCCTTGTGGATTTGTTCATGTAATGCATCACGTTGATTTGTGATCCCTAGATAGTTTCAAGCGTAGGTAAATTGTTCAGTATAAGTGGGTGGATATAAGTAGCTGCATTGTATGGGCCAACAGCCCTTCTGAAGTTACCTTCATTCTTATGTTCTAACCTGCTTAGGCCTAGTTTTAATCGGAAGCTAATATGGCTATTAACTAGAAAGTTAATTAAAATATTTCAATAGTGAAAGCCAAAGTTGATAACAATGTATACTGTTGACTGAAGTTAAATAGGTGTTGCATCACCATACCAAAGCTTTAATCTTGGTAATCTAGTTTACAGCACTCCTTACTTATAGAACGACAGCTGAAACATCGGGAAGAAACGGAGGAGACCAATATTAACAAGACCTCGTCGTGGATAGTCGTTAAGGACAGGGGTCTTGAAGACCTTGACAAAGCTGCCTACAGACGCCCAAAGGACAGCAAATTCATTTGCCGTGTTCGACGAAGTGTTGTGGTGAGCCTGCAGTTCACTAGAAATCGGCGAGGAGCGGCGAAGCGCAGACCCCTCAGGCTGCTCAGAAAGTTAAGGAGGTACCAACGCGAATTTTGGATGTGGGAGATTCCCAGGTGAGGTATTTACAGAACGTTTTGTGCCAGAGATAGGGGGAACAGATTAAGGGTTTGCAATCCGGGAGCTGGAATTGGTGATTTTGTTGGAAACATGAATGATATTATGACGGGAAATGGGAACAAACCCATTATTTGTATTAGTGCAGGGGGTAATGATGTTGGAAGAGTTAGGAGTGAGGAACTAATAGATTCAGGACAGCCATTGAATTAGTTAGGAGTAAGGGAGAAATCCTGATATGTCCCTTTGTTCAAAGAAAGGGAGTGGGTAATGAATGGATGTTGAGGCCACTTGGTGTCACTTGCTGGCTAGAAAGATATTGCAAATCAAATGAAATGTTTCATGGACAACTGGAAACACTTCTGTGGAAGAAATGAAAAGTATGCTCGTGATGGGGTGCATCTATCGAGGGCTGGGGTTGTTGCAAACTCGTTGGAACCAGTGGTTAGGTGTTTGTTTGGGTTTAAACTGTTAGTAGTGTTATGGAAATTGATTTGGAGGAAGGAGGTAATAAAAGTATGTTCGTGGGAGAAAACAATTGGCAAAATGATCGGGGAAAGAAAAGGGCCTCGATAACAATTCACTTAGGGTATATTGCACTAACAGTAAGTCTAAGAAATAAAATTAACGAATTAAATGCTCTTGTCTGCACAGAAAAATTATTGCACATGCCGAAACATGGATGAATGTAGAAAATAGAGGACTATTAGCTGAACATAAAATAAATGGATTTAAACTATATCAGATATATTAGACGAGGGGGAGTAGCCATGTATGTTGGGGACAATTTGAAATGTAGTCTCAAAGAGGGAATAAAAACTGAGCCACCCGCAAACTATTTGGATAGAATTAAAAGAAAGCAAATATTATAATAGGAGTTATATATAGGCCACCAAATTTAGACAGAATGGAAGCAAAGCATCTATGGGATGAAATATCTAGAGCATCTAGATCTAATAGTATTTGTCATGGGTGACTTTAACTTTAGTGGAATAAACTGGTTGAACAAAACGGAATAGTGAAGCAGAAGATTTTCTAGAATTAATTGAAGATTGTTTTCTTACGCAACACATTAAGGAACCAACGCGGGAAAATATTTTAGATTTAGTGTTAACTAACAGGGAAACGCAAATTAATGACATCGAAATAGGGAGTGAGCTAGGGAACAGTGATCAGAGAATCAGATTTAGCATAGAATGTAATAGACCTGTAGGAGAAAATTCTGTTGGTCCCAGATTTTCGAAAAGCTGATTTTAATAGCCTAAAATTTTTTGGGTCAAATAGATTGGGAAGTCTTGGGTATGGGGTGTGGGCCGGTCTTGGAGAGACATGAACCCAGCAATAGGTGACGTAAAAGGGGATTTCGATGTGGATTTAATATATAACTTGTTTAAGAATATTCTAAACAAAGCACAGGAATGTAGTATACCATACAAATTGAATAGATCAAATACTAATGACCCAAAGTGGATAACAAAGAATTTAAAGAACCTTATAGGTAAAGAGAGCTTGGTACAAAAGGATTAAGCATGGGGAAGTCGGTTTAGAACAGGAATTCATAAAACTGGTTAGAGATTAGGAAAGCAAAAAGAAACTCTGAAGTTCGCATAGCAGAGCAAGTAAAGTAAAATCCTAAAGGGTTTTTTCAGTTATATCGAACTAAGACTAGGGAAAGGATAGGTCCATTAAAAACTGACAGGTCAAATAAAGGACAATGACAGATTAGTATTTTTAACAAATATTTTATCTGTATTTACTAAAGATTACTAAATTGCCTTCTGGTGCCCATTTGATCAAAACTAATGACCCAAAGTGGATAACAAAGAATTTAAAGAACCTTATAGGTAAAGAGAGCTTGGTACAAAAGGATTAAGCATGGGGAAGTCGGTTTAGAACAGGAATTCATAAAACTGGTTAGAAATGTTAGGAAAGCTAATCTCTCTGAAGTTCGCATAGCAGAGCAAGTAAAGTAAAATCCTAAAGGGTTTTTTCAGTTATATCGAACTAAGACTAGGGAAAGGATAGGTCCATTAAAAACTGACAGGTCAAATAAAGGACAATGACAGATTAGTATTTTTAACAAATATTTTATCTGTATTTACTAAAGATTACTAAATTGCCTTCTGGTGCCCATTTGAAAACTGATCCACTTTGTGTTTAAAGGTTTTGAGTGATTTTCATTTCTTTGGTCCTGCATAAATTTACTCAAAATATTCCTAAAATTTGCCATTTTTGTTAGTCTTTAATTAAATTGTATTTGCAGGTGGTAAATTGTTTCGGCTGCTACAGCTCTCCAGCCCAAGTTGTTGACTGGCTAGTCTTTGACTGCCTCCCAACATGTTAGTGAGGTCCTGAGCTGATGTACCCTATGGCGAAGAGTGAGGCACTAGTTTCCTGAAGTAATGTATAGCATGAGATGGCACCCATTCTAAACAGCAGCCGGCACCAACTCTGGCCGACGTTGGAGTGGACAAGACCCAGATCCTGTGGGGAGGAAAAGTCTACACTAAACTGTAAAAGGTACAGATAATCTGACCCCCCCCCCCCCCCTTTGGCAGTTTCTCGGGTACCCCCTCTTTTCCATTTCCTTATTTTGTAAAGCTTTATCTTAAACGGCAGCATAGCTTGGCACTCGTGGCTTTAGTGGGACTGTTCCATTGGATTGTAACTGTGGGTGGGGGGGGGGGGAAAAGCATCTCTAGTTTTGTTCTGCATTGTAGTCTCTCTTTAAACCATTTTAATGTTGCACTCAACTTATTGTTCTTGACAGTTTTGCAAACTTGTAGATTTTCAGTGAAGAAATTGGTACCATCCTGTCTGACTTGCAATGTACCGTTTTTATTAATAGCAGTTTCATAAAGAATGACTTATTGGCTGGTATTAAATATCCTCCAAAGCAGATAAAATCGGTAAAGTGTCCATGCCTTGGTATGATTAGTTGGGCGAATGAGTGTTGTATAACTGCTTTCTAAAGTGTAAACTTTTATTTTCAGGGTGTTGGTTTTTCTCACTGAAGCTACCACTCGTGCAATTTTGATTGGTGATTGTGACTTAGTCCTCCTCGTGATCTACGGCAAGGTAATATTTTTAGCATTTATATTATGCTGCACATGTTAAGCTTTAGTTTTAAATTAGCTTGTCTTCAAATTACACGTGTTGATGACCATTTTTGTATGGGCTTCATACCCTTCACTTTAACATGAATTAACATCCTTAAGTCAGCCCAAAAAAATAGAATATATGGTTCTGCGACGTTTAGTAATTTGTAAGACCTTTTCACTATTTTTAAACTATTGGTTTTTATCCATTGTAAGTTATTAAATGTGCTTTAACTTACCAGTAGTGTGGTAGGTTTGGAAAGCTTTAAAAAATCCATGTATCCAGAGTTGCTGGAGCTCCTATATTAGGAGCTTAATTTGCAAAGTAAATTTGCATGATAGCCTTGTTTATATAATTTTGGGGGAACCAACACTTTAAATATTTAATGGAAATGGTGACTGAATCCTACTTTAGATACCAAAAAATAACCAGAGCAAAGTGTACTTACAAAAGTAGGCAATTGTTCCATTAAATTTAGATAAAATTAATCAGTTTGGTAGTTCCAGGGAGATTTGTGTAGTCAGTCAGTCTTTACTATTGTGAAATGTAGTTTTATTAATTATGCCAATGCTACTTTTTATATTGAGTCTTTGCACCTGTTTCCTAAGATTGACAGCATGAGGTGAATCTTCCAGCTTCGGTCTTGGGAAGTTGTAAATAATTAGGTAATATAACTTTTATTTAAAAGAAAATGAAATTAAAGTGTAGCATAGGCTTGTATCTCCCTTGGGAGAGTTGTCAAACCCATAGATATTTCCTTGTCAAAATACTTTAAAGGTTGTAAGTTGTGCCTATTGTAATTTAGCATTAACGTATTGTCAGTCTTAAAGGGCATGACAATGATTAGGTTTATAATCTAGTATCTTGGCATAGACAACAAAATTGATTCTACTAAAATACTAAATTGTATAATTATCAATTAACATTGATGCACAATGTGGTACTGCAGTTTAATAATTATGGTCCACAATTTTGTTAACTTGAGTGAATATTTCCAGAAAGTTGATTGTGGCCATACCTGTTGGAGTAGTAAAGACAAACGTTCAAATTTTTCTTCTTGATGTAACCCCCAAGCTGTAGGCTGCTGTTATTTTAAGAGGTAATCTTATTTTACTTATGGAAAACTGGCTACTGTAATGATTAATCTCTACTCGATATACAGGCTCAATAGTCTCTGTAGTAAATATACTCTATTGTCAATGAAGTACACAAGTCTTAGGTGATCCATTGGCTGAGGAAAATCAAAGTTCATTGAAATAAATTTATTGAGGTAAAATCCAACAAGGGATGAGGTAGCTAAGGCAGTTCATAACTTGTCCTTATTGGTAGTTCAGTAATTTTTTAGCTAGTATGTTGCATAATAAAAATTAAATGGTTGTTAAAATGTTCATTGCACACACCATAATGGCCGTCAGATGTTAAATGTCAGACTAAGGGGTGAGATTAGTGGTAAATGTGACATTGATCAGTGCAATGTTACTAGATTCTTGAAACTTTCCCTTGCATGGTCAAATTTATTATGTAATTATTTTAATTTGTATCTATTGGTTTGGTGTGCAAATGTTATTGTAAGTTTCATAAACTTTCTAATGCGACTTGTTATACTGAGAGCACTTTATGAATATTAAATTACCTAAGTTCATAATTTGTAAGCTTAATAGTAACAAAGTATACTAAAATGTATTAATATTTTCTCGACAGGTGGCGACGCATTATCTGAAATGGCTGATGCAATGTATTGAAATTAAATTTTATTAAAAACTCTGGGTTAGTTGAAGTCACTTATTGTAAATAGTGATGAATTGTGGTATTTTAGTAGTTTCTCTAATTTTATTGAAACGAGCTTTTTAAGTGTTTTGGAATGTTTAATAAGGTTCTTGGCACCATCTGTGTCTTGACTACAAATTTACTTGTTACTAGATTATAAATATATTGGTGTTCTGGGCAGTTTACCTTGTTTGAGCAACAAGGTGATGCAAGGCAGTTTTCCCAACTTGGCTGTAGTTGTTAAAGCCAAACGTAACTTAGAAACGTTGGTTGCCAGTTTGTAGTGTGGTGCATGGGATTGAAGGAATAATCACCGCTCCACATTGATAAGATAGATTCCTGTGGCATTGAAGTCGGCAAGTTGAATAAATGTTTTGGAAAATATTGTAGTTATAATATTGTACAACATTGTGTTAATTAGAATAATGATCATAACTTGGTGAAAGGGTGGTTATTATATTGGTTTTCAATTTTATAATTACTTTATTATAGCAAATGTTTGTATTTGAAGGTAGTTAAAATCTAATTTATATATTACCTCAAACTTAAGTATACAAGGCATTATAGTAAGTCTTTACCAAAGTTCATGTATATTAGGATACTTAATGTAGGTGTACATAAGCTAAAAGTTGAAAAAATAACGTAAATAGAACACAATTGTATAGATTATCATTACCCATACTGTAGATATTAGTGATAAGTTTTCTACTAAATGATCAGGTCCATCTCCCTTTCTGGCTGTCGTCGTGACGTAGAGTAGACGGGGGGGGGGGGGGGGGGTAAACGCACAACTGTCGGATTAGTTTCACTTCACATCTGCAAGGTGACAATCTTTCATAATTTCACATTCAATGATCTTGTAATATCGACACATTGGTTTTTAAAAACAAACCTCACTTTTGATAGTAAGACCCTTCAGCCACCTATCATTCTTGCTGGTGCCAGGTGCCCTGTTCAAGAGTACATCCCCCCCCCCCTCTCACTCATTGTAATAAGTGAGGCAAGTTCGAGCACGGTGCCCTCAAATACACAAGCCTTCGTTTCTCTCTGCCCCATGTGTGGGGACGATAGCCACTCTAAGACAGATTGCTCATATCCCCCGGGCTCGCTACCTGAATTGCGGCGAGGCCCACCCTACATTCTCTCGCACGTGTATCGACTCAAAGCTTGAAGTAGTCCTTAACTTGAAACACCAGGATCATTTGACTTTTCCCGAGGCAAGACACGGTTTGCAGTGTCCACCCCTTCACTGGCGTATCTTATGCTCGCACGTTGTTCTACCTCTCGTCCTTCCCACCTTTGTCCCACAACCATTTCTAGGCCTTGGACCCGAACATGCCCACCACCTTCCCTGTTCCTTTACGTCCTGGGTCGGAAGGTATCTCTCGTGAATCTCCTTCTGGATTCCCCCCCCCCCCTTTCCTTTTCCTACCCTGTCTGCCAAGTCATTTCGTTTTCCCCGATCCTTCCTGTCCCTCCCCACTACCTCTTGGCCCTCCACGTCGCCTGTCTGTCCAGGCTGATGTCATCATCCTCCCAGCAATCTTGATGTTGTTCATTCCCATTCTTCACTTAAGACCCTAGTCAGTCGGCCAGTACGATGTTACTGGAACACTTGTCCGTCAGAAACGTAAGCCTGGCTCCTCTCCATCCTCCTCCCCCTGCGGGTAAGAAAAGAGACGGCATTCCTTTCTTCCTCGCCCCCTAACTATTGCTTACTCCCCATTTTATTGGTTGGGGCCCCCTGTCCCTAATGTGGAAGTTTCTTTTGGCCCAATTCCCTCTTGGTTGCTGACCTAGTTTCTACCTCCTGGCCTTGACAGCCCCCCCCCCCCTCCCTGAACCCTGTCAATCTGCCTCTGGTGTCCTGCTCTTTTTTTCCCTCCATTCTTACTAAGTTAACCCATGGCCCGCTAAACCTTATTCTGATCTTTAGCTTTTTTAATATGCTGTGTTATTTACCTTTGTTTCTTTGTTCTGTTGCTGTCCTTTTATTTTTTTGATAATGTCAATTCTTCAATGGAATATTCATGGGTTTTATGCTAACTCCCATGAACTCCAACTTCTGTTTAGGTTTCACCACTTTGTCTCTGGGAGCCGATGCTTGGTGCTCGTCGTGATAACTGTCGTGGTTATTCACTTCTTCCCCTCTCCCTTGATCTTGCTGGGGCCCATAACTATATTGGTCTCTTGATTTGTACTGATAATCCCTTTGTCCTCCTACTGTTTCCATGTCCTATCCATTATTTTGCTGGCCATGTTTTTGAGTAAAATGTAGATCAGTTAAATTTTTCCCCCCAAATGTCCCTCTTTCCCTTCCTGGTGTCAGGAACCTCCTGGACTCCTTAACAGAGCTGGTGTTCCTGTTGGGTTATTTAAACTGTCGACATACCCTTTGGGGTGATGTTGACACACCCGAGGCGGCCTTCTCGAACCATTCGTTCTCTTCCCTGAATTCTGATGAGCCCACCCCATGTGGACTGTAACTCTCACTTTCCTGTCTTGATCTTTCTCTGATCGTCTCTGTACAGTACTTGGATATCTCGTGGAGGGTTCATAACCTCCATAAGTGACCATTTCACCATCCTTGTTTTCCCTAGTCTTTTCACCCTCCCCTCTCCTTCCCTAGGTGGCAGTTTGCCAAAGCTGATTAGAACCTATTCACCCTCCGTGCTACTGTGACCTCTCCTTACTACCTCTTCCTTGCACCCTCCTCGTTTTCATTAGTCTTCGATGCTACCCTCTATTCCTTGCTCTACCTCCCAGGGCACACGGAAGTGCGTTCCCTGGACTGCGGATTGCTAGGGTTGTCGGCTGTAAGTGTGCAGCCTGGAAAAGACTGACGATGGCTGATTCTTATATTTTGTTTCAGAAAGTGCAGCGGCCTGTTGGACCACCCGGACAGCGAGGCGCGAGAGTTGGAAGTGTTTCCACCATTACGTCAGATACTCCTCTGCCGCAGATTTGGAAGATCTGCAATATTGTGGGTAAGCTCATTCCCTATGACTAGCAGGTTCTTCACCTCTGTGGTACTCTGGTGGTGGAGCCAGTGCAGGTCACAACCGAACTGGGTTCTCACTTGTTAGCTGTGGTTCTAATCTTCAATTTTTCCTTAAACACGTTCTTGAATCTCGTGCCTTAAACTTCCACACTCGATGGTACTACATAGCCTTCCCGGTTTGGTGGGTTTTATAAATTTTTAAGTGGCAACAAATGGCAAATACATTTAGATCTGTGTACAGTTTGCTTATCTATTTAAAATTAAATCCCATTTGATCCGCAAGCAAGAGTGATTTGGCATGAATCCTGGGCGAGTAACTGTATCATCTGTTTAACGGTGTAAAATTGGTACCTAGTTAAATTTTTAGTGTTCTGGGGTAACATGGAATAAAGTTATTGGGCTAAATGGTACGCATGCTTGTGGCTGTACAAGAATGAAAGATCTGTCGTATTGTTTTTTTGACATAAATAGCAACAACTCTTGAGTTTGCTTGGCATGTTTCAAATACATGTTACCAAAGATATATGGGGGAGGGGAATCGTAAACTATAAATTTGAAATACAAATTTTGTAGCATATAAACCTTAAATGTGGACTTCAAAGTGCTTTATCTTCTAATTTATAAATTAGATATGGGGGGGGGGGGGGAAGTAGATAATTTGTTAGTGTAACTTTAAAATGACAAATATTTTAAAGTTAAACAAAATGAAATTGCTATGCAAAACCTTATTAACCATATTTAATGTTCCATTGACAGGTTGTAGAAGGTCCTTCCAACATAACTTCAGGAACAGTTGCAGAACAATCGCTGGAAGTGTTAAATGCTACAGAAAGTAGCATAGTTGTCAGAATTAGAGGGCCAAAGTAAGTTTATTTAGTTTAATAGGTAAAATGTGTTTACATAATTTTTACCTAAATATTTAATGAAATTGTGAAGGGGCCTTGAAATTGGGTAAATTGAAACTAGTTTAAGGCCTTGACTAGTGGGTACTATATCCTAAAGTTAATTCTTGCAAGAATTGTGCTTTGAATAGAATAAATGGGACTTTAAATTTGTGAATGTAAAGTTGGGCACTAACTGTTAAACGGCATAAATTTGCAAGTTAAAGATTTTATGAAATGTTTTATTTAAATCTTAATTTGTTTGCATGGTTCTTAATTATTTGGCTAGAAGTCATTCATTTATAAATTACACAAATCACAATGTGATATTTGTAATGCACAAGGGCTGTGATGAGGGGTTCAAACTTATGTCGGAGGATCCCAGATGTGCTTTAAGACTGTGCCACAACATGGTAAAAGAATCCCAACTGGGAGGTCTACTGACATCATGGATTTAATCTACGTTTGTAGCTTAAAAGGCTATGTTCATAAATTAAAGAATCATTTAATGATGGTATAGTACACAAATTAAATATTGAATGGTAACTGTACTTCAACTTAGTTTATTTATTTGAAGCTTAAATAGATATTGTCTTTCAGAATATTGATGGGAAAGTCGAACTTCAGCCCTGAGTTTGAAGGTGTTAATTGCTTGACATTCTGAATTAGGTGAGTGTGGTAGTAAACATTATAACTTAAACAATCACTCATTATGGCTGAAGATAATCTGAAATGATGCTTACATGTAGATAAAATAAATTGCTGAGAGATATTAGTGACTTTAATGTACTTATGGTTAGTCAAACTAAGTTTAATGTTTTTGCTTGATTAGCATTAAAGGAGAATTCTAACAATCTTAATTGTAAGATTAAAGGAACCTGCATATGTAAAATCTTGTTTAACAAGCTAATTTGGGTAAATGTTTCAGGTGGTATGGAAGATTACAATGTCATCAAAGCATTGACTGGCTTCAGTGTGGTTGTTCTACTCTGCAAATCTACGAAAGTTGGTATGTGGAATTAAGTGTTTTAGCTATGTCAACTAATTAATTTACTTTCTTTCATCTAGTCCATTTATAGATGTGTACCAAAGTCCTACTGTTACAACCTGCAGGGATTGATGCAGTTTGTACTGATCCTACCCCATTTCATAGAAGGGGACCAGGCAGTCCTGCAGATTTCCCTGGCTTGGCTTTTTCAGAGCCCTGCTCTACTACCCATCCAATAGATGGACTAGAATTGCATAGGTGTAGGGACCCTTAACAATGTGCAAACATTGTTAATCACTACAGGGCTTGTTCACTGAAAGAGTGGATACATCCAGAGGTTTAGTGCCTGGAACATGATGTACATAGGCTTTACACAAAGCTTATTTACATCATGTTGGGCACTAAACCAAAAGATGTGATGCACTCTTTCAGCCAACAAGTCCTGCCTCAAATGGAAGTAAGGGGTAGGCCTTGCTGAGCCTATCTTAAAAGATAGGGACTTAGGGGTTTTGGTGCTTCTAGATAGGTGTTAGTGTTAATAAAATGAGTGTCCCTGTTTGATATACTTTATTTTTGCTTTACAGGTGGATGTTGTCCTTGGTACTCTGGTTTTCCCTGGCCTTTTGTTGATCTTTGAGTCTTCAGTGGATTGCATCTAGGAGGAGCAGCTTCCCACAACCTGAAAAGACAATAGTCAATATTAATGTTACACTGTAAACTATTAAATAAATATTCCAATGAAACTTTATACTGTACTTTATCCTGAAATTAGCAAAGATTCTATCATGCTGGAAATTACTGATGCAAAGAACTTGTGAAATTTATAAATAACTTACTAGAGTGAAAAATTAATTGACATCACTAACTTCAGAGTTTTCTGCATGTAATATGCCAAACTGGATTAAGCTGATAAATCTAAACTAACATTACTAATTTGCAAAGTATCTTAATTTTACACTTGACTAAAATTAAACTTAACAATTGTATGGACTACATTTAAGGCTAAGCAACATTGAAAGATTAGTGGAAGTGTTGTAAAAAAAAATACGTTGACTTAAATGTCAAACTAAAACATCTATACAATATGGTTTTTCACCAATACCTTACTAAATGCCAGACCTGGAACACTGTGGTTCCAGTAATCAGAAGTTAATTATAATGGGCTAGATATTAAAACTTGATAGGAAAGTATGAAACTACCTATTGTCAAAAGTAAAATCCAACTCTGAAAGTTCTAGTATAAGAAAAACAATATTAGACATGACCAGTCTGCCTTATTATTTCCTGGACTTTGATATGTCCTACCAAATATTTTGAATGAAAATTTCATTATTCACACCAGACATCCCATAACCACAAATGTTTCAAGCTGATGAATAGAAGTAATTAAGGATAGTAGTGTATTATACACTACCTGTAAAAAGTACCATAAACTGGAAGAGCCTTACAAACTAAAATTTATAATTACCACATGCCTAGAATTTAATCCAAACTTAAATGAACTCTCAGCCAAAATTACTAAAGTTAAAAGATGTTCATAACAAGTTTATCTAGATTTCAAATGTCACTCAAATCTTCGAAATAACCAAGCACAAAACTGTCAGATTAGTTTCACCTCGCATCTGCGAGGTGACAATCATTCAATGATCTTGTAATAACACATTGGTTTGTTAAAAACAAACCTGGTCACTTTTTTGTGGAAATGGTAACCAGCTATTCAAACAAGACTTCTGGTACACATGTCACTTGCTTGCTAAAGCTGTTGATAAGGTACCATATGAAAGAATAGGAGGGGAAAAACAGGCACAGAATCAATGGTAACAGTCAAATTAAAGCGTCCTAAACAGAAATGACTGGAAAATTTTGCGAGATTCATACCACAAGGGTCTAAACCTTATACATCGAACACCAAGATTTATAGAGTAAAAAAAAAAACCAATGATATCGAGGCCTTACAAAGATCTACATGAACTCTAAAAATGGTTACAAGACTGACAAATTCTTCTTAATATACAAATAACATTGTTCTGGCTCACATGCAAGGTTTTACAATCCATATCACAACTACCACATTAACATTACAACGAAATAGAACGATGAAATAAGGACCTTCGAGTATGAATCCATCATTCACCAAAAGTTGATGCAGTGAAAGGTAAGGTAATTATCAAAAGAAGGCACCAAACCGAGGCTACATAGCACCCTCAAACTGCGAAATAATCAGAGGGCGCTAAATATCACCAAGAATGCCAATACGAGAACAGAACGCATAAGGCGAACGATATCAAAAGTATCCGATTCACCAACAATTCTATCCAGGGACAAGTGACCGCGAGGGGCAGTCGGAAAGCAAGACACACGCACATCCTGGAAGTCAGGACATTCAACAAGGATATGCACAACTGTACGAGGGACAACGCAATTTGGACAATAAGGAGCAGGGTGGCGCTCCATTAAGTGACCATGAGTTCAGCGAGTATGGCCAATCAGCAACTTGCTAGAGCACTTTCCCACCGACGGTTACGGAGGCAGGAGGAAGGACACAGGGACACACTACGTTTGAGAGTACGCAACTTGTTACCAACTACAGACGACCAACAACCCTGCCAATGGGCAAGGATGGAGGAATGAATAACAGGATAAAAGTCGGAGTAAGGAATACCTTTATGGGAGATGGGACAAGAACGGATACCTTCCTTAGAGGCAGCATCCGCATGCTCATTTAAACAAACACCAATATGGCTGGGAACCAAGCAAAACTCTACCGATTTAAATGTACTAGAAATAAGAAACAGCCAATGTTGAATATCCATGACCACCGGATGGACAGGATTAAAGGACCCTACAGCCATGAGAGCACTACGAGAGTCAACTACAATCACAAAGGAGGATTGACAATGAGAAAGCAAGAGACGGAGAGCATAGAGAACAGCATAAAGTTCTGCTGTGAAGACGCTAGCCTCCGAAAGGAGGCGACACATATAAGTGCGGTCAGGAAAAAAACAGTAGCCCACACCGTCCGCAGACTTAGACCCCTCGGTGAAGATGGAAACAGAGTGGGAGTGCGAAGAAAAGTGCTCAAGGAAAAGGCGTTTCAGAACCCTAGGAGGGGTAAAAGCTTTAGTGATGCGGGTCAAGGACGTACAAAACTTTGGAAGGGGTACTCTCCACGGAGGCAAGGAACAATACGAGGAGAAACATTAGAAATACGAACAGAAAGCGAGATAACCGGACAGAAAGAGGGAGGCGATGAAGATGAACAGGAACCACAGGAGGAGTCAAAGTTAAAGCACGACAGAGGTGAGAGGAAGGATGTTGTAAGGACCACGCAAGATAGCGAAGATAGTAGCGATCACGGCGGTCCTGGAGAGAGAGAAAGCCAGTGTCAACATACAAACTGAGGGCGGGAGTCGAACGAAAGGCACCAGAGCTGTGTGGGGAAACTCCAGGCAGCTAATCTCTTTATTTAAATTGACTTTAATATGATAAAGTTATGTCTTATTTATTTTTCTAAGTAAGAATTAATTGAGTGGACTGTATATACTTGTAAACTGCCTGAAATTTTCTTACACACCAATGGGAGGGACAATTGGTAGCCTAAACCACTTTGTTATGGCTCCTTCTTAAACTACCAATTGTTTACCTTTTATTATTATAATATACCACATGTTGGGTATAAAAATTCGTAATTTCAAACTGCCAATACGTGCAGAGAGCCAGAATTTGGCTTCAAAATTTGGTTCAGACCTCGAAATTGGGATATTTGGGATATTTTGAACACTGCAGGGGAGTTTGGGCAAAATGTGACTCACTGCCACGTCCAGTACTTGGCATATGTTGGGTATAAAAAGTCGTAATATCAAACTCCGAATACGTACAGAGAGCCAGAAATTGGCTCCAAAATATGGCTCAGGCCTCGAAATTGGGATGTTTGGGATATTTTGAAAACTGCAGGGGAGTTTGTGCAAAATGTGACTCACTGCCGCTTTCAGTACTTGGCATATGTTGGGTATAAAAAGTCATAATATCAAACTGCGAATACGTGCAGAGAGCCAGAATTTGGCTCCAAAATATGGCTCAGGCCTCGAAATTGGGATGTTTGGGATATTTTGAAAACTGCAGGGAGGTTTGGGACAAATGTGACCAAACGCCGCTTTCAGTACTTGGCATATGTTGGGTATAAAAAGTTGTAATTTCAAACTGCGAATACGTGCAGAGAGCCAGAATTTGGCTCCAAAATATGGCTCAGGCCTCGAAATTGGGATATTTGGGATATTTTGAAAACTGCAGGGAGGTTTGGGACAAATGTGACCAAACGCCGCTTTCAGTACTTGGCATATGTTGGGTATAAAAAGTCGTAATTTCAAACTGCGAATACGTGCAGAGAGCCAGAATTTGGCTCCAAAATATGGCTCAGGCCTCGAAATTGGGATATTTTGGATATTTTGAAAACTGCAGGGGAGTTTGGGACAAATGTGACCAAACGCCGCTTTCAGTACTTGGCATATGTTGGGTATAAAAAGTCGGAATTTCAAACTGCGAATACGTGCAGAGAGCCAGAATATGGCTCCAAAATATGGCTCAGGCCTCGAAATTGAGATGTTTGGGATATTTCGAAAACTGCAAGGGAATTTGTGCAAAATGTGACTCACTGCCGCTTACAGGACTTGGCATATGATGGGTATAAAAAGTCGTAATATCAAACTGCGAATACGTGCATAGAGCCAGAATTTGGCTCCAAAATATGGCTCAGGCCTCGAAATTGGGATGTTTGGGATATTTTGAAAACTGCAGGGAGGTTTGGGACAAATGTGACCAAACGCTGCTTTCAGTACTTCGCATATGTTGGGTATAAAAAAGTCGTAATTTCAAACTGCGAATACGTGCAGAGAGCCAGAATTTGGCTCCAAAATATGGCTCAGGCCTCGAAATTGGGATGTTTGGGATATTTTGAAAACTGCAGGGGAGTTTGTGCAAAATGTGACTCACTGCCGCTTTCAGTACTTGGCATATGTTGGGTATAAAAAGTCGTAATATCAAACTGCGAATACGTGCAGAGAGCCAGAATTTGACTCCAAAATATGGCTCAGGCCTCGAAATTGGGATATTTGGGATATTTTGAAAACTGCAGGGAGGTTTGGGACAAATGTGACCAAACGCCGCTTTCAGTACTTGGCATATGTTGGGTATAAAAAGTCGTAATTTCAAACTGCGAATACGTGCAGAGAGCCAGAATTTGGCTCCAAAATATGGCTCAGGCCTCGAAATTGGGATGTTTGGGATATTTTGAAAACTGCAGGGAGGTTTGGGACAAATGTGACCAAACGCCGCTTTCAGTACTTGGCATATGTTGGGTATAAAAAGTCGTAATTTCAAACTGCGAATACGTGCAGAGAGCCAGAATTTGGCTCCAAAATATGGCTCAGGCCTCGAAATTGGGATGTTTGGGATATTTTGAAAACTGCAGGGAGGTTTGGGACAATTGTGACCAAACGCTGCTTACAGTACTTGGCATATGTTGGGTATAAAAAAGTATCAATTTCAAACTGCGAATACGTGCAGAGAGCCAAATGGCTCAGGCCTCGAAATTGGGATATTTGGGATATTTCGAAAACTGCAGGGGAGTTTGTGCAAAATGTGACTCACTGCCGCTTTCAGGACTTGGCATATGTTGGGTATAAAAAG